GGCTTTGTGCATCACGAGGATTATTCGATTGAACTGGGTTGTGGCCAAGCACGACAGAATTAACCAGATTTTTGTGGCGTTAAATAGCGTATATTGTCACCCACGTTCCTTTCTGTGTTTCATGTTAGCAGCCTATCGCAAGTGCAGATAGTGCTCTGCGCTAATCGCGCCAGAATGTCATGAAGTATTCCAAAATATCTTGGGATCATTTCTTCGGCTTGAGCACGCTAACGCGAACAGCTGATTTGATTCTATAGAAACGAACGCGGCAATAGAGGTAATCTTCGAATGTTCGATGTCGCAGTATTGAATGCCGACGTGCCTTGCCGTGGATCAGCTTATTGACGGTCGACGCTCTGTTCGTCGATACCGGATAATGATGACGATGATTATGATGATGATGTAGGGTTTAAAGTCCCAAAACCACCATACGATTATGAGAGACGCCGTAGTGGAGAGCTCCGGACATTTTGACCACCTGGGGTTCTTTAACGTGCGCCCAAATCTGAGCACACGGGCCTACCGCATTTCCGCCTCCATCGGAAATGCAGCCGCCACAACCGGGATTCGATCCCGCGACCTGCGGGTCAGCAGCCGAGTACCTTAGCCACAGGACCACCGCGGCGGGGCGCGCCGATACCAGTGCATACTTACAGTGCGCATCGCTTGCTGTAGATTGAGTTTCTATTTCCCCGCCTCAAGTTCGGCCACCTAAGGAGTTTCATTTCGGAGACGCCGTCTATGCCTTCGTTAACGTCCCGACCAAGTGACAATATGCTGGCTGATAGCAGAGAACACGCCTAAATTATACGATTTTCAGAATTAGACGAGAGTCCGATGAACAAGCTTTTACTATTCTTCGTCGCCAGTGCGAAGCTTTCTTGACCAATGCCGCGTTTATTAACATTTACGAACATGTCGTGACCTTGCGAAGTGGAAGATAAAAAGCGACCAACAAAGGAAAGAGCCGCTGGCCGTTCAGCGAGGACGTCCTACATAAATAACCGAAGCCCCGGTCTTTTATAGTGGCTCCTCCCTTTTTGTGACAATGGAGCGAAGCAATTCGATAAGTGATGAGCGAGCTCTGACAATGGGCACCATGGACACTCGCGCCAATAATTACAAGGTCCTTCGGAGTGACCGCCTATTCTATTATTACGAAAATTCAGTTACCTATTCCCGGCGTCGTTTTTTTTCTCTCTCTCTCTTTCTGTGTGGTTCAAAAAATCTTGTCTTTTAATACGAACATTGAAATAAAGGCGACCTTTCGTTGCACGGTCCTGGCTTCCCACTTCATCTGTTGAAGCGCAAAAAAACCACACCCCATTTTTACGTTTATTTTTGGCTTTACTATTGGTTTAGAACGTAGTTTTCTCACACCTATCCTCCAAACTAAAGATTGGAGCGTTTGTTTCGGACGTCTGCGTGGTTTGCACTATATACAACTAGCTACATAAATTAGCAGACTCATATGGTCATTTGTGCACTCGCCGAAGAAGACTGACTCGGAGGCGAGAACTATTCAGTATGGTTATGTTATCATTTCGGTATATCACGCGAATGACTTTCATTCTTTAGAGTACCGCGAACAGCGCGAAAATGATGTCAACACTCAGCCTTTTGGTCCACAAGCAGTCTTTTCACCAAGTGAATCTTCTGATGAGTCGTCTAAAGCTTTCGCTTTGAAAACAGAGAGGTCTAAGAACACTGTTAAATTGTTTCAGACAACAGGTAAATAAAATAACAGTATATAGAATGTCTTCAGGTCCTGCTTACCAGCTTTATGAAAGATAACAGTACTGTAGCCTTTTTCTGTAAAACGATGAACCAAAATTTTGATGAAAATAACATATAAGCAGCAGACAACTGATCGTGTGCAATAACTAACACCGTCACTGACTGAACCTAAAGGAACAAGGCGCATTACGGCACTTCGAGAAGTGCAAGACAACTTTTTTTAATACATTGCCGACTGTATTCTTTCATCTGCGTGGTTGATTGGACGTCGCTGTCAGAAAGCGACAGCCGATATCTTGCGTGTGCAAGAGACAAGAAGAAGGCGACAAAGGATTTTTCGCGACCGTAACAGCAGTCGAACATTAGAGAGCTGCATTAGCGAGAGTGCGCCGCCGTGGCAGCTCACCTATATACTGACATACAGCGAAATGTACGGTGGTTTCCAGACGTTGCACTTCTCGGCGAAGGCGCGACGCGGGCAGCTCTTAGCGGCAGCCAATTCGTTCCTTTCGGCCTGATTCTGTCACCTGAGGGCTCCGAACATCTTTCTGACACACATGTACACAAACAGAAATACACGTGCACAACGTCGCACACACTAACTCACTCTCTCGTACGTTCGTACCGGAGGATGTACGCAAAACGTACAGTCTCTCTCTCTCTCTTACACAAACATGAACTCGTCTATACGGAAAGACAAACAATCAAGCGCACATCTACACACGATATACCCACACGTCGCATGTCTTTCTGCTTTCTTTTTTTCTTTCTTGCGCTCTCATCTTGCGCAAACAGGTCGCGCCTACTAGACCCGGGGAGACCCGAAAGAGACACGCACCAAAATGTGCACATAGGCACGCAACGCACACACGCACTATACCACGTCCTTGGCGGCGGCAGCAGGAGCGGAAGGCACGCTTTTTGCTCTGCATTAACTGCCGGCCTAAAGGGGGAGGCCCGACCCGGTGCCGCGAACTAAGATCGATTCCTCGCCGAGCAGCGGCGTCGGCTGTCGCGAGCTGTTTCTTCTCCACACCACACGCGAGCGTTGGGGAGAAGAAGGCCCTCCGGGGTGCGATATTTCATCGTCCGCGCAGGAGCTAGCTAGCTGCCTGGTGTCGCTTCGGGACAGGAAGCAAGGCGGCCACGGCTGCCACCGTTACGGACGATGCCGACCGACGGCAGTGATGGCAAAAAAGAACGTCATCGTCAGAAATAAAGCGCGCGAAACAAAAGAAGACAAAGAAACAAAGAGGGGTAAAGACGAGGTTACGTGCAAGGAGTCTCGGCTACCGGGTAGGGAGAAGGGGTGAGGGTTCTGCCCTCGGAACAACGCTGCCATCCTGGCCCGTGAGCCTAATCTCGTCCTCGTATACCGCCGTCTTCTAACTTGGGAGCCCGCCGGTTCTCATTTACCGTCCTCTCTTCTTCGAGGCCCTTCGTGGAGCCGCTGTGGCATCGCTTTCTTACTCCTTTCCTCGACAAAGCCTGGGCAACATGAGAAGGCTCTCTTGCTTTCTCGTCCCGTGGCCGCCTCTTGTCACGTATTTTCTGCGCCGCCAGAGTGGGTCGCTGCTGCTGATGTTGCCATTACAGTTCTCGCCAGCCTTTGCGTCTACCGCGCCCCTCTGCAGGTCGAAAGCACGCAAACACGCGAAGTCTTGTACGCTGTTTATGCCAGGGACCACGCAGGGACGAGCAGCGAGCGACTGAAAGACAAACGAGATCAGACACGTAATTCTCTTCTTCCTTTTTTTTATTCCTAGTTCCTCTTTCTATTCATATATACAGGCTCCGCCGACTTCGGAATAATGAATTTAAATAGCTTCGTCTTCGATACTTCTTGTTTGGGTCAACATACGTGATTGCACTGCTTGCTTTGATGCCCTAGCGTTTTCTTATACTTCTGCTCCTCAAGTGAATCTCGAAGGTACGAAGTGACGCATTTTGTATGCACTCGATTTTGTAATACCGACGAACTTAGCATTGGCCAACATAACATAACCTGATTAAAATGGGGCATTTAATTTTTTTTCGCTGTTTCAGACGCACAAAGAATGTCACCTTGCATGTCAGAAACGTCCGGCAGTGAAGAAAGTGATCCGATTATCATGTCTTCCAACAGGGTATTCAGGAATAGGTCCGCTAAACAATACCCATCGGAAACTTTGGCGGGGCGTTTGAGAGGGCAAAACCACCCCACCAAGCGAGCGAATGCCCTTTCCGCTGCGTCGCTACGTCACTACATCTGTTGGGGAAGCAATCTGAGGAAGCTCGCTGCAAACGACAGCGTATTTTAGCGGTCGTAATTCAATAAATCGCAGAAAAAAAGTAGCGCTCCTGTTGCCCAAGTAGCTCATCAATCTGCCTAAAAAGAGTCTACTCATGCTTGAGAAACCCTATGTACACGCTTACTTCAAATATTGACGCCATTGACACTTTGGTAAACGCATATCGTTGGGAATTGTACGAACGGGAACCACTGGGTGACCGTGCGACGCACTTCGTCGGGTTTCGCATAGAAGGAGCTGCCATACGCTTCTTTTTTCTTTTTTTTTCAAGTCTTCCCTTCGTTGTCGATTAGCTTCGACGTTACTTGCAATAACATCGCGGTTGAATCGGCAACAACACGCCTGTTATTGAAAGATTCTTCCTCTTGGCCATTATGAAAATGCGAACTCTCAAACACCAACTCTCTCTTTGATACTCCACCGAGACACTCACCTACATCTCGCAGAATGGCTGGATTCTTCTGCTGAATCTCACTGTCGCCCCTCTTGACGCGCAAGGCCTCACTCTCCCCCTTCCTGGCACGCCTCTCATTGGTTCAGCTCCACCATCGCTACTGTCACCACGGTGCAGCTCTACCCTTCCAACAGAGTCTGTCCCCCTCTAGCCACGCTGCGATGCCCTATGATCAGCGCTACGCTATTGGACGGGAAAGCCTAGAACAACTTCTCTACTAAAAATAAGCAGTTAACATAAGCAGACGCACCGTTCCACTGTTCCTCCTTCAGTTGCGAAGCTGCTGAAAGTAAATTATTTTTGTAAACTAAAACTGAAACACAACTTTTGACTTCCTGCTTGTTTCACGCACTGCGTACCAAGAGTTCGTTCCCTCGCAAGTTTTCTTTTTTTTTTTCGGCGCAGAGAGTAGCGATTGGTTCCTATGGCACGTGACACGTGGCCTGAATGGCGAACCTTTAATTTACAAACAAGTGAGGTTCCTCATCGCCTTGCGTGGTCTTTACGCCCGTGCGCAGGTGTACTGGTTCGGACCCGTGGCCGGAGGCCTGCTGGCCGGTCTCATCTACGAGTACATCTTCGACACGAGGAGATCTAGCCGGGAAGTGGGAAGGCGGAGCGTCGAGGATCCTGACAAAGGTAAAAACATGCCACGGTGAGGCGGTCTATGAAACAAATGTTTGACGATTTAGCGTACGATGTATATACTATGGGAGAGCACAGATGTCCTAGTTTCAAGACGGCAAACGACGCCTACGGCCTGATGCGTTCTATTTAGAAAAGTTTATTTGCACTGTGTACAAAGAACTAAATTTTCTCAATATTCTATTAATAATGGACACATAGACATCAGCACATCTATGTACCCCGACAAACATCACTGTACTGTAGTGAAAACACCATTACTCGAATATACATGTCAGACTTGGCATGCATGTACAAAGGAACACAATGGCATATCATGATACAATGAATACAATTGCACAACGATACAATGAAACTCAATCTATTACAAACGAAGCATGATCAAATACTCGACGGGGGCTATTTAGCACACGTCGGTTGAAAAAATGAGTTGTACCCGTTCGTGTTCAACATTCACGACGGGGCACGACCAATGCCACAAAAACTCGCCCCCCCCCCCCCTCCCCCTAGGAAGAACAGCTCCTCAGAAAGGAACGCGAGGATCTCTCGTCTCATTCACCCAGTATCGGCCACAAAACACGCCGGCGGCCATTCACAGCGACGACCCCAGATCAGTTTCGTTAAAGGCTGAACAGCCCCGCGACTATTAAAAGAGCCGACAAGCGCCCGCATGGAAGTCGGCCATCGGACACGAATGTTCGCACACTCTGCCCACAAAAACCGGCATGGACCTCCCGCCGAAAAAGGTGGGCACCCACACATTCAATCGTCACATGTCGATTGGTCTCAACAATGACGCAATTGGGGCAAGTATATATTGGTGCGTACCACCTGTCATCGCTGCAACGGATCTCGAGTGGGGAATAAGTTCCAGCCCAACCGCCAAACGAAGTCACGGAGATGGCCTGGCAACACAACTACGGTTGTTCGTTTCCATGGGCGGTTCATTATATATTGACGATGCTGTGGCACCAAGGGCCGCAGAAGGGCAGTCATTGTGTTCACCGCTTTAGATTAGGTGAACTCTGGGCACGTAGCCTCGAAACGTCTGTGAAATGCCAGAAGGGCTCAATACAAAGATGGTAATTCAGTTGAATGAGGACCATGGTTAATTTGGCTAGCCGGCAGGAAGACACGTAGTAATGGCCCCAAAATGGTGGCGAGCCAGTGTCTCAGAGGGCGTACCGTCGCTGCTTAGTATTCGCAAAAAAAGTGCAGAGGCACTAGGTAAAAGCCGTGATGGAAACGTCGGGGAATGCAAAACCGCCTTGATCTCGTGGTTGAACCAACGCCGGACAAGATAACAATCTGTGCCACCAGAGCAGAAAAATGAACGAATGCAGCATTGCACTTTCCTGGAGACGTGTATGGGGTTTTTACAAAAATGGCAAATATACCGTTATTTTCCGAGGTAAACCGTTTGAGATAAGGATCGGCGTTCCAAGAGGGGGAATTCGAAGGATCCAGCAGCTTTTACATCACTTTGAAGAGTTGGTACAACGAATGACAAAATGCTGTCATGTACACCAAATGCAGCGAAAGTGGCGCCCAGTATGATAATGTTAGGAGACCGCTGTAAAGGCGACGTGATGCTGATATGACCATTAGGGTTGCCAATAATGAAATACTGGCTTTTAGAAAAGTATAACCTTGCACCGGAGATAATTTCGCAATGATGGAAAGTATTAAGGGCATGCTGCAGCGACTGTTCGTTATGAACTTATAGTGTAATATCATTTGCATATGCAGTGACCTTTACTTGAGTGTTACCAGGTAGGGGTAAGTATCGAATCTGCGGGTCGCGTTCAATAGCCCCTAAGTAAGGGTTCTAATGCAAGAATAAATAAACTGAAAAGAGGTGATATCCTTGACAAACCACACGCGTGACTTGAAAAGGGTGACAGTCACGGGAATCTCGGTAAAGGGTACTTTCGGAACTAGTATACATTGCGTGACATGAACACATAACCGTCGTTGTCGCCTCTAGCAACTGAAGCGCTGCGCTGCTATGCCCGTGAATGAAGGTTTAAAGAATTGAAAATGAAGGTTAACCTCACCAATATTGAAGAACGAAATATCCTTCCGGTAATTTAGTTGGCGTGTTAAATAATTGTCTCCGAACAAAGCGTAAAACTCTTTGACAATATGAAATAGACTGAACAGGCGCTATTGTGAGAGTTTAACGCCCCCCCTCCCTTTCTACTACAGCACGCACATTCAAATTTATGCCACAATTCTGTACACCACAGCAAAGCTTGGACGAAGAGATCGCAGAATCATAAATACCAGGTTATTAACGGTATGTTATCAATATAAGTTTAACCATACCACGGTGTTTCTATAATGGACTTCACATCATCTTTATCCTGACCAAGACAAGTATCGTTACCGAAACATAAGCTAATGACTACCGATTTCTTGTTAGTTTGGTCCAGTAGCTATCACAGCGCCACCCGGATAAGAAATATTGTTAAAGCAAAAAAGAGATAATCAACTAAACTACAGTAAGAATTTTCTGTTGTTACAGTGGATAGAGCACTTGCAGGTTTCTACTCGCTGTTGTAGCAGTCTGCGTCACCGGTTCTGACATTTGTCTCGTTGTGGGTCTCATAAGAGTGGGCTTGCGCTACGGCTATATTTTAAAAATAAATACTGCGGCTGCGGTCACTGCTGCGGATTTGCTGCATCAGCGTCACTGCCATCGGAAGGGGGCAATTGCGTTTTCCCCCGCCTCGCCAGTACAAAACTGCCAAAATTCAAATAAAGTTTTATTCATTCATTCAAATAGAGCTCATCAAAACACTGATTTTTCGAGTGAATGAAGCAGTCTGGTGGGTGACTCCTGTTTAGACATTTAATGGCAACCTAGTCGGTATCACAGAAAGTTAAGCTGGGAAACGAGAAACATTTCAGTATTGCTATTCAATCGGTTTTTTATGACAATAGTGTTTTTAAGGAACTCCGTGTATAGGTGGATTAGCTTGATCTGAGTTAATCATTTATACTCTACAGCCGCAGGCACGATTTAATTTTTTACATATTTATTAACCTTACCTCCCTCGCCACAATGAATTCTGCTTTTGATCGTCCATCAGTTCAACAACCCCACCCCTTCGTCGCTGGAAACATACAGTGCAGTAAATTCTACACTTCATCTTATTGCAATTGATTGATATTTTGAGGCCACAGAGACCTCCCCCGCCCCCGCCACCAGGTGGGGTACGTCCAGAGATACCGGAAGACACTGTGGCGCTACAGAAAACATCCGGCTCTGACTGGCCCACTTTACCGCGGGTACACGTGTCTACGGAACCGCAATATCGACAGTCAACAACGAATATGCCCCCAGCAGGCAGTCTGTCCTCCCAAGAGGTACAAGTCTTTTCTTTACTGAGGTCGTTCATGAGTGTTATTCGCACTCTATTGGATAGTCTACAGATCCCTGCCGCTAAATGCGCGCTGCAAATCTTGGACACACTAGAACCAGTTCTTGCCGGACTTCAGTAACAAGATGGCGCACCATAGACCGCATCAGCCTTTCCGAGAAGAAGTCAAGCGTGCTTCCATAATTCAGTGGAACGCAAGAGGTCTACAGTCAAGAATGCCGGAGTTCCGACAATTCATTTTCGAAAATAAGTTTCCCATCATCATCATTTTTTTTTCATTTTGAGGTGTCTATATGTATTCCCCCCTTGCTCAATTGTCTGTCTTGTATATTTTTTTCCAGTTTATTTGTATATATGTATAGCCCCCCTTACTCAATGCCCCCCATGGGGCCTGTAAGGTACTTTGAAATAAATAAATAAATAAATTTGTGAACCGCATTTTTCAAAAATACCTCGTCTGTCGGGCTATGAATCGTTCGTTTCTTCAACGTGCATTGAGCGAAGTCAAGTTGCTGTGTACATCCGTAAAGAACTCACTTACGTTCTCCAAAGAGTAGATTCTCACAATGGAAATCACTACGTGTGTCTATATGTTAAAAAGAAGAAGTTGTCGTTTACACTGATAGGCGCATATATAGCGCCGTCAGGTCGACTAGATCAACAAATCTTGAATGGTATATTTGCAACGACTCCAGCGCCTTGGATATTGATGGGTGACTTCAACGCCCATTATCCATTGTGGGGAAGCATCAGGACAAATCGAAAAGGCACGGACCTAGTTGACCTCACATCAGAGCACGGGCTTCAGGTGCTGAACGACGGCAGCCCTACTTATCTCCGAGGAGTAACTTACAGCAGTTGCCTGGACTTCACATTAGTGTCGCATAGCATTGTCACGAAAGTCCAATGGTTCACAGATGTTGAAACACGTGGCAGCGACCATATCCCCACGTACATGACAGTCAGAGGTTTGGACGATCCTCCTTCCCCTGGACATTCAAGACTTATTGACTGGGAAGAGTTTCAGATATCAGTGGAGAGCAAGTGCATGCACGGACCACCGGAATCCATTGAAGAAGTGATTAGTTGTGCAATGGAGACTTCCACGAAGATATGTTCGAAAGAATCGAGACGCACGGCACTCGACCAAGAGTTGCAACAACTTAGAGCGGTCCGCCGACGTGCCGAAAGACGATACAGACGCACGAAATCTATCTCTGACCTCAGAGAATCCAGACGCATTCAGAAAAAAATCCAGCGTCGAATGCACAAACTTCATGAACAACGGTGGAAGAATTTTTGTGACTCGCTAGACCCTCGAAAGCCCTTGTCTCCCGTATGGAGGACTCTTCGAGGTATTCACTCGCATCCGCAACAGCGTCACCCCTTCGCCGCTCTGGCGCTACATCAACGTCGCTCACAGCTTGATGTTTCTGGGGAATTTTGTGCAAAGATCGCCGGCGACATCTCTATACCGATCGATCTAATGCCACAGGATGTTCCAGTCGCACGAGATCAGCAAATGGAGGTTGCGTTCACCATGGAAGAACTTCATGCGGCATTGAACACATGCAGACGCTCATCGTCCCCAGGTCCGGATGGAGTGACCTATACTGCCCTACGTCACCTAGGCCCGAAGGCACAGCGCTGTCTCCTGGACATTTTCAATAAGTCTTGGCATGATGGAATGGTCCCTGATGAGTGGAAGTGTAGTCGCCTGGTGCCTTTGCTGAAGTCCGGAAAGTCGTCATTCGATTTGGCATCATACCGGCCTATAGCACTAGCAAGCTGCGTTGGCAAGGTCATGGAGAGGATGCTGCTTACACGCATGGAATGGTACCTGGAACATTATAACATCTATCCTGATGTTATGGCTGGTTTTCGACGAGGTCGGTCCTCAGTTGATAGCGTTATTGACTTAGTGACCTCTGTTCAGCATGACCCACGAGGCTGTTCTCAATGCTCTTGAAGCAGCTTAACTTGGAGGTCGTGTCTTTCGATGGGTAAGAAGCTACCTCACAAAGAGATCTATGTTCGTTTTAACTGAAGATGGGTCTACGAATAAGTATTTCACAAGTCGTGGGGTGCCACAAGGTGGTGTTTTGAGTCCTACACTTTTCAACCTGGTTCTCGTGGGGCTCACTGAAATGCTGCCCCAGACGGCTTATGTATCTCTCTACGCTGACGATATCTGCATTTGGGCGTCCGGCGTGACACGTCCTTAAGTGCGCGCAAGAATGCAGAAAGCGGCAACAATGACATCGACATACCTTCGCCAGCAAGGTTTGACTATCGCCACAGAAAAATGCGCAGCGGTGGCGTTTACACGCAAACCGATGTCTTTCTACTCATTGTGCATCGATGGCAGATCAATCCCATATAAGAGCACTCATAGATTCTTAGGCGTCATCGTAGATCGTGACCTAACCTGGAGTCCGCATGTCACATACCTGAAGAAAAAGCTCATTGGCATTGAGAATGTATTCAAGTTCGTCGCCGGAAAATCATGGGGCTCATCCGTGCACTCCATGTTGCAGCTTTATACAGCCCTCTTTCTCGGAACTCTCCGGTACAGCCTTCCGGTCCTGTCCAACACGTGCAAGACTAACATTCGTGCACTGCAAAGCGTACAAGCCCAAGCACTTCGGACATGCCTTGGCCTTCCAAGATGCTCATCGACAGTGTCAACTATTGTTATTGCACAAGAACAACCGGTCACAAAGCACATCATTGTCGAGACGCTGAGAGCGCACATTCGGCATTTATCACGGCTACCGTCACATCATTTAGCGTGTTTGACAGCTCGGAGGCCCCATTCTTCGTACTGCGGTATCGTGACAAAACATCAGGACATACTAACGCCTGGCTTCAAACTTGCCATGCATCCAGCAACTGCGCCATGGAGTCTTCGTCAACCTGACGTGCGCTTATCAGTTCCTGGAATCTTTAAGAAGGCACGCATGTCAACGCTAGCCCTGAAGCAACTGACTTTGCGTCTGTTGGACGAAAGGTACTTCGACCGCATACATGTTTACACCGATGGCTCCACTAATTCCAACAGCTCCACAGGAGCAGTGGTTGTTCCATCTGAAAATGTGTTGCTTCAGTACAAGTTTTCTCACACCACGACGTCGACAGCAGCAGAGCTCGCAACACTTCAAGGTGCAATAAAGTACATTCTTCACCAGGAACCTAACCAACGGGCCATCTTTTGCGACTCCAGGTCAGCCTTACAGTCACTACGGTTTGTTCTGCAGCACGGGCTACATGAACAATCAGTATATCAGATAAGGCACGACTACCACGAAGCGCTCGCGGAAGGTCACGATATTGTATTTCAGTGGTTGCCGAGTCATTGCGGAATCGTTGGCAATGGCCGCGCAGATGAAGCTGCTCGATCGGCTCATGACCAAGACCAGCGCACGCCCATACCACTCTTGAGAACGGACGCTGCAAGGCTACTACAATCACTTGCTCGCCGTATATCTCTCCTACAATGGAATACGCAGAGTTTCTCCAACACGCACCTGTATTCGATCGACCCAAACTTGCAATTTCGTTTGCCATCCGGGTTCCCACGATGCGCTGAAACTTTACTGTGTCGCATGAGGTTGGGCGTGGCATTTACGAATTCGTACTCTCGTCTCCTTGGAATGGCGAGCACTTCGGCATGCAACATCTGCACCTGCGAGGAAACGCTTGAGCACATTCTATGTCATTGCCCAGCATACCAGACCGAACGACGTATTATGGAAGCCAAGCTCTGTCAGCTGGATTCACGGCCGCTTACAGAAGCGAAGATCCTGGGACCTTGGCCGACGGCTTCCCGTACGCGCAAAGCCACGAAAGCCCTCTTGTACTTTTTAAGGAACACCAAACTTCACGACCGCTTGTGAAAGAACTGTGCGAGGCCGTGCTGTGTAGTTTCGAGCTGACTATTTATGCTTCTCTTTCTTACTCCTCTTCTTTTCTGTCTCTTTTCGTTCTATTATTCCCCTTTTCCCCCACCCCAAGTGTAGGGTAGCCAACCGAGCCAAGCTTGGTTAACCTCCCTGCCTTTCCTCTCTATTTATCTCTCTCTCTCTCTCTCTCTCTCTCTTGAGGCTGCTTAGTAGATCATGCGTAAAGTGCAGCGCGCACGAGAACAACGGACGAAAGGGAAGAAGCAGGCAGGACTAGCACTGATGTTTGTTGGAAAAGCAGGGATAAATATATAAGCTCATCACGAACCACGTGGCCGGATAAATGCTAGACAACTAAGAATACACATTTGGGTGCACGTTAAAGTACACCAGGTGGTCGAAATTTCCGCAGTTCTCCACTAAGGCATATCTCATAATCATATGGTGGTTTCGGGACGTTCAAATCCACGTATCAATCAATAAACTAAATACACAGAAGATACGCGTCACATCGCGTTTCTTTCGATACATTCTCTTTGGCAAGTATTCGTTTGATATTCAAATTCTATGTCAATCAAGTTGACCGACAGCCTGCTGATACACGACTCCCCTTTTCTGACGATGATGGAAAGCTTCAACAATTTATCTGGCTACCTGTGTTATAATCATTGTGTCTTCAAAATGGGGGAAGTGGGGGAGCAGCCATGCTCGTGGCAATGATCTGCGAGGGTAGACGGTCGATCTTCAGTTAGTATTCATTATGCTCTTTTAATCTGATGTTATTGTATCCGCCACGCTGATCTGTGTAGGTTTTGCCGCAGGATAGCCACTTCGTCTTACCCGAGCTTCTTATCCATTCCATTTTTCCGGAGACCTCCACTACGGCGTCTCGCATAATCATATGGTGGTTTTGGGACGTTAACCCCACATATCAATCATCTTATGCACTCCATTAGAGTATTTCTATCACATCCTGCTTCTTCTACCCGTACACCCGCCGCGGTGAACTAGCGATTACGGTTCACGACAACCGTATCTAACGTCCTGGCCACGAATGCCGCATTTTTCTATAGAGGTCAAATGCCGTTGGCACGTGTGCTTAGGACAGCACGTTCGAAAAATCTAAGTGGTCGAAACACCCGAAGCCATCGTGCTGGAACGGAGTAAAAGACGAAGCACAAGGAAAGGATTCACGACAGGAACGCCGTGTTGTCAAGTGTATATAAATACTTGCTCGTGTTGTCAAGCCTTTCTTCGTGTTTCGTCTTTTGCGCTGTTCCAATATGAACGCAAACCAAATAGGCCAACTATCCCTTTTGGCGCAGTTATTCCTGAAACCCTCCACTATACGGCGTCTTTCACAATCATATCATGGTTTTCACCCATAAATCCCAAATAATCTTTGCATCGTTTTTCCCGTGCTAAGAATCTCATTTCTCTTTCTCGTCCTCACGCAGAGTACCGGCTGGAAGACGACTACGAGGAGTCGTCCGGCTCGAAGAGCGCCAAGTACGCGACCGTATCGCAGAGCCTGAACGGAGGGGTCGCCTCCGGGAGCACGGCGCGACACGCCCGCGCAGCGAAGGCCGTCCGCCAGCAGCAGCAACAGCAGCAGCAGGCCCAGCAGTACGACGCCAGCTGCTTCGGCAGGCCCTCTGCGAACACCTATTCGCCCACGCCGTCGCTGGCCTTTCCGTCTTCCACCGAGGCGGCCTACGCGAGCACGCTGGCGGCCGCAAACTGCACGGCGCAGATCTACGGTAGGCATGCGCTACTGCGCCATTTACATGGACAAACTCATCATCATTCTTCATCATCAGCCTGACTACGTCCACTGCAAGACAAAGGCCTCTCCCATATGTTCTGCCAGTTAACCCGGTCCTGTGCTTGCTGCTGCCAATTTATACCCACAAACTCCTTAATCTCATCTGCCCACCTAACCTTCTGTCTCCCCTTAACCCGCTTGCCTTCTCTGGAAATCCAGTTAGTTACCCTTAATGACCAGCGGTTATTCTGTCTACGCGCTACATGCCTGGCCGATGTCCATTTCTTCTTCTTGATTTCAGCTATGATATCTTTAACCCCCGTTTGTTCCCTAATCCACTCTGCTCTCTTCTTGTCTCTTAAGGTTACAATTATCATTTTTCTTTCCATTGCTCGCTGCGTCGTCCTCAATTTAAGCTGAACCCTCTTTGTAAGTCTCCAGGTTTCTGCTCCGTAGCTAATTACCGGCAAGATACAGCTGTTATATACCTTCCTCTTGAGGGATAGTGGCAATCTACCTGTCATAATTTGAGAGTGCTTGCCAAATGTGCTCCACCCAATTCTTATTCTTCTAGTTACTTCAGTCTCGTGGCCAGGCTCCGTGGTTATTACCTGCCCTAAGTAAACATAACATGGACAAATTACTTAGTAATAAAGCTGTACTCACACGGCGAACGTGATCGCGGACGAATCAGTCACGTGGCACGTGACGTGATGTTGATCCCTCTGGCCGCCAGCATTCACACGTCAGGGAATAATTCACGCTACAAGCGTGGATTTCGGCATTGCTCCTCAATGATCCCAACTGCGATTTGGGTCTCCGTCGTTTCACGAATCGCTCCGCGCGGGCCGAAGCGTGGTCGCGGGAACGGGCGACGTATGGTGACGTAGTACGCGATCCGCAGGCTCGAATCTCGATTTCATTCATCGTGTCAATGAAGCTTGACGCGTATAACAGATTAATTAGGTTTCACTTTCACTTTTCTACCTTAAAGACCCCCGAGGGGGTATTACATAAGTGGTGAGTTACAATATATACAACAGGCTGAACACTTTATTATATGGTATATTGTGATGTGATCGCTTCAATGAAAGCAGTAGGGCTTGAGTTAGCGATTTCTTGCGCAAAGTCATTCCAGTCCTTGGCTGCTCGAGGAAAAAAAGAAGATGCAAAGGTGGCTGTGCGAGTATGAGAGCATGAGGACGGGCAACGTTTAAGGGGTGACCAACACGATAGAATATGCGTGATGGTGGCAAATATACGGTGCTTGATCACGCTGTGATAGAATGTATAAAATAATGATAAACTAGCAATGTGGCGTTGATTACAAGGGTTAAGGAAGGTAGAGTTGATATTATGTGTAGGGCATAATATTATCGGGAGTTTTGCGGCTCGAAAAACATAATGTGATCATGGCGGGACGCCATAGTAGAGGACTCCAGAAATTTCAACCATCTGGTGTTCTTCAACGTGGGCTCAGCACACGGGTCCTAGCATCCGCACCCATCAAAATGCTTTGGCCGGGATCGAACTCGCGACCTTTGGGTCAACAGGCTGTAGTGCCATATCCACGTACTGTGCCACTGCGCGGCGGGCTGTCTGTATGGGCTTCAACCATAGTACAGCACTTATGACATAAATTGTTAAGTCGCCGAGTGCTGCCCACGGCACGAAAAAAAACACAGGTTCACACGCTTTGAGAATGGGCAAAGAATGACGTTTATTATTGCAGTATAGTGTGTTAATATAGGATCGTTTTGAGCGCAAAGAGAGGAAGGGAACAGAGCAAAGAACTTGACGAGTGCGCAGTGGACCAGCCACCGTGTAACACAGCAGCCAATACAACATAGATGTAAAGGAATTAATGTGGGTGAAATATCAACCCTCCACAGGACTGGACCTACAACTTTCGGCCACGGTAGATCATAACGCGTTATATGAAGGTTGTACGTTCGGTTCCTACACCTTCTTAGAACTCCTCCGTTCTTACACTTTCCTTAGCTTCACAAACCATTTTGTTTTATCACGTTGCGTCCAACGAAAAAACGGGTCCTGGATTAACCTCCCCGTTGTTTCGTTCATACATAACGTACATGAAGAATTCAGGCTAAGATACCCGGGAATTTGCATGTGCAGTCACCTTGTGTTGTGGCCGACGCTCATGTGATTGTAAAAAGTTCGCGCATGAAGTTCGCTAAGGTAGTAATCTGGACTTGTTGATGTGGCATGACGCAGGGTGAACGCACACTGGACGAATTCAGAGAAGAGGCTTGACATTAACAAGCGCTGCAGTGCTCGTGTGTGTCGAGGCTCTTCTCGGTCTTCGCCCTGTGCACTTTCACCGCGTGTCGTCCTCGAAACGAAAGCAAACCGATGGTTAGATCTAGCTCCCAAAAGAGCGTTAACTTTAGGTCGACTTGAACGACAAGATTGTTCATTTCCGGTAGCGTAATAATGCTTCAAAAGTTTTCAAGTTCAACCGGAATCCAGATACGCTCTGATGAAAAACAAATCGAGCCTCTGAGTGGTTTTCACATTTTGCCTGCAAACGACTGAAGAGTGTGACGTGGAGTGATACACAAGTCACCGCGTTTTGCATTGCAAGTTTGATGCATGTGGTTGCTTAACTGTCTTGCTATATCAAAAGACAGCTATACAACCATAACTTTCGCATTATTGTCAAAAGCAGTGCTAGTGACGCAGCTGTACTATACGGTGACGGTGCAACCCCCCCCCCCTTTTTTTTTTTGTCGTCGTCAGAGTTCTCATATGCTGCCCCTTTTTTGCAGACCTGGAAATGCCTTCCGGTCACTTTCGGCGCGCCTGGAGTACGGATAAGGATCTCGACCTCCAAGACTCCAAGCTGTATATATAAAGTGAGCACGATCGAACAGCGCTTTCCTCCTCTGTCTTTCGCGATTCCTGTCCGACTATAGCCTCTTCCCTCTCCCTCCGAACGTGTACACTGCTCTGACGTCCAAGTCCTTCATATCGTGTGAGTTGGGCATTACGGCTCTACACTTTCACGAGCAAATGTTTGTAAGTGTGTGGCAGTGTCAATGGTCGTCCACCTCGGTTGTACAATATAGTTACGGTGCTTGGCTACTGAGCTGAAGGTCGCGAGTTCGATACAGGTCGTGGCGGTCGAATTTTGATAGAGAAAAAATTCCACAGGCCCAAGTACTGTGCGTTGTCAGTGTATAAGTTAAAGAACACCAGATGGTAGAAGCCTCCAAAACTCTCAACTACGACGTCCCTCACAATCATATAGTTAAAAAGGGGGAAGAAAACAACCACCCGTTCGTAGCACGAAGCCACAAGGAAATCCGTGCGGATTTTCTTGCGGGATTTTCTTGTTACCGGGATTTGGACGAATTTTTCAGCAACTAAGACACTTTTCCTTCTGAGCAATTCGTACGCGATTTCCTTGCGGCTTCGTGCTACAAGCGGGTGGTTGTCTTCTCTCTCTTTCTCAACTCTTCCGCCACCTTGTGGATTTGCACAGAATTAATTTGAAATAATCATGGCCTCTCAGATGGCGGGCGCTCGGAGCTCATGATTTAACCATATAGTGTTCCGAGATGTAAAACACCAGAAATTAATATTGTGAATGGCCTGCTGAAACAGTGAGGCGAGTTTGAAGAAATTAATTATATAACTATTAGTTGACAGAATTCAGTACTAGGGTTGGTGGAAAAGACGCCTAATAATATACTGTGTCAGTCTGGCGAACATTATTATCATTATCAAAACAATGACCAGAGTAAACACGTAGTTCTCACATTTTTGTTGGGCACTCGTATACAGACCTCTTTTCTATTTCTGGCTGTACTGTGCATTTCTCTTTCTTTAATAGAGTGAAAACAAGACAGTGCATCCGTTTTTGAAACAGCATAAGCAGTAAAATATAATGTGGATAAGAATTATTATTATAGTTTTTTAAACAAACTCGTCTGAGCCCTCAAATATGACTGAAAATGTTTGTGTGCTCTACAGAAACAACGCCTGAAGAACACACGCTTCCATAAACCAATTAGTGTGCATACTATAACTTAGGCAAAATGTTTTTTTCTAGTTCAGTAAGTTCATTCCAATTGGGTAAAGCAGCGTAAACTATTGACAGAACAGGAAGGTGGGCGTGTGGACATTTTCGTCTCCCCTAGAAGTTTAGACGGTTTATGCATCGTCATGCTAGTGCCACGCAACTCTTCTACTTTTCTGTTCAACCAAGAATGAAAATCAAGCAAAGAATGAAAATGAATGAGAAACCATGTGCTGGCGTTACAAAGCAAGCTCAAAAAGCTTCTTCAACTTTTAAAAAACGCCTTATTAACTATGCACAAAATAAAACACATTTGCGTCATTGTTGCATTCTGACGTGCTATTCAGTGACGCATTCCCCCAAGTCTATGGGCCCTAAAATTTTAGATTTCAGAGTTAGTTAATTTCACCAGAATCAATACAATTACAACAGAGCTGAAATAAAAAGAAGAAAAAGTACTATTTATGGGAGCATAGCAAGAAAAAAGCTGCAATATTTGCAGCATGACTAGCCCCGCCACTCCGTCTTATAAGGGCGGCAATGTGCAGTGCAGAAAGCATTTTATTTGAGCCAAACGTTTGGACTAACAACGCGAAAATCAGTAACACTCAAGATGTGATATTTACAACAGAAAACAATACACTCAAGGACAGCATATTTGGAATTTCAGACAAGTTAAATTATTAGGAGAACACGTAGAGTGTAAACTGTTCGTCTGAATTAGTTTGGTACATTGGGTAAGGAATATCGCAGTAGCTGTTATGCATATAGTTTGTACGCGGCCGTGGAGTGTACCAGCGAACCACGTGTCAACTAATGAGACCCTAATGAAGCTACGTTACTGTTCTCTTTATTTCAGGCGCAGCGCCAATGCGCACGACGTATCGGAGCTGACGAGGTGCCGGTTATTCCAAAGAAGAAGCCGACGTTTATGTGTGGGAAATGCGCGATCCACTACTCTTCTCTCATGGACAACGAACCACTTGTTGTTTTTTTTTGTTTTTTTTTTCCTCGGGGTAAGGCTCGCTTCGCACATATATACGCTGATAGTTTCCCTGCTCGTTCTCATGAATGTGTGCATACCTATAGCTACGCATTGAACTAGCGACACGTTTCCATTGCGAAGGAAAACAATGCGCTGCATTGATCAACCGAGGCGAATAACACACGAACATGAAATGGACAGGGACGGGCTACACTCGTCTCGAATGACCCATGAAGTACATCGTTTTGCTTCGCAATGTGATACCAACAAGTCCCAGTGGAAGCACTAGTAAACGTTGCCAAGAATTACATTCAAGTGTTCTCCAAACATTTCAAGTAAAGATACTCTGATCCAATGTAGCAACTTAATCAACCACACGGAGCTGAGTTCTTAAATGTAAAAACGTTATAAAACAGACCTTAAATACTGGGATAGTCAGGGTTAACAGTGGTAGTGCCTCAGATGGGTTGGCCGACGTTTCGATAGGAGGACCTGTCTTCGTCAAAGGCGAAGATAGATCCTCCTATCGAAGCGTCGGCGAGACTGTCTGAGGCACTTCCATTGTTCGCCCTGACTATCCCACTGCGTGTTTCCATCTGTCGGCTCCCATCTAGATTTTAGACATTACATATTGTGTCACTGTTTTTTTTCTCACTGAATTGCGTAAACATTGCAAACGTTTGAGACGAGTAAGCGAAATTCTAAAGTGTGTCAATGTCAAATAAGTTTTTTCGTGATTGTGTAGTATGCCATGAAACAACTACATGGTACTCGTGCAAATTATTATTTCAAGCATGAGTTCAACATTTTCTATCACGTGTAAACCACCCTGTTGCATAATACAGCCACATATTTACACGAACGTGGATCAAAGAATAACGGTTATGATTGCCCTTGACGCAATCCCTTTTATTACAGGTATTTCCAAACGGCTGCGTCACGGAGCGGGGACATCACCGAGAAAGACTGGTCTCATCAAGGGCCTCAGAAAGTCGTTTTTCAGTCAAAACACCACGTGGTTCCAGCGAGATGTTTAGAAAGTTTGGTACGAGTGTGCTATAGACCCACGAAGGATCGTGTAGATCCTGTGAGCGCATGTGACCAGTGTAAAAGCCCAAGATCTTCACTGTGGTCATCTGCAAGAAGATTGAAAAGCTGACGTCATCGGTGTTCGTCGTATTGTTTTTAGCTTCCTCCTTCCCTCGATGAATTGCGGGCAGTGTTCGACTCTGTGTTGAGAACTGGAAGACTACGCAGACTCCAGTGCACAAAAGTTCGGAGAATGGGAATTGACGCCTCGTCTTCGACATCGATGTGCTGCCTACAGTTTCGTTTCGCCGGTGTGTTGGCATCGAGAACAATGAATCACGTAATCGAGCGCGAAGACAGAGAAAGGTGTGATGTGCTCACGTGACTTCCAATGCTGACACCACATTCGGAAACTTCTCTCGAGTTTAAGACCGAATAGCGATGTGACTTCGTCTCCGATCATGCTCGGTGACAACCGAAAAATTCGGTATTCATTCTCGCTCCATAAAATCACACGTCAACGTGTTGCAAAGTGCTTCAAAACATTATCTGATATATTTATTTATTTATTTATTTATTTATTTATTTATTTATTTATTTATTTATTTATTTATTTATTTATTTGGTGCTAAAGCCGCATACTCCACAAAGAACGCCTGGGACATGATACTAAAGCACAGCTCTCGAATAACGCCATTGAAAAAGATATTTCACCCCCCCCCCCCTCCAACCCCCCGCACATCATGTGTCGGAGTGGAACTTAGAGACCTTGGCTGGCTGGTCGGTCTGCACAGTTTATACGAATTTAACAGTTGTGAGTCCTTTGCGACTTTTTTTTAGTAAGTTGCCGAATGTGAGTTTCATACATATGCGATTGCGATACAGATGCGCCCATAGTGTCAAACGGAAATCATGTAACAACCAAAGCCTTCAGTTCCACTTGAGGCAGCCAGCGTTTCTGCTTGTTGATTTCTTTTACAAGCGTAACATTTATATATGATTTGGAAACAATTCCCGCTTGTAACATAAAAGTGAAGGGACGTCGCTGACGTATGTACATATCAGCAGCTGGTGTGTTGCGATACGATGAGGCTGTGCTTAAAGCAGATAAGAATACGCTGAAATGCACGGTTGTTTTATACTTTACATCATTTGCTGGTGAGTGTTGCTCAACTCCCCCTCAAGAAGCTTCGAAGCCGTCGTTTTTGTTGTAGGCGCGTACTGTACGCATTCTAAACGACGAACTGGGAACGACATTCACTGATCTCCTGCGACCCACCCCAGCTCAACGCCCGCCGTGCCCGGCCGTAACCCAGACAACGCATGAAACTTTTGTGGGACTGCACGAACTGCAGCGAAATGACTCCAAGTCCTATACTCGCCACGATGAACCTCGATTCAGTGCAATACAGAGATTCGCCTACGGACTCACTTGTGCTCTAGGCGTTCATAACCATCTGCAGCATTCAACATTGGGTTTTATCATCATCACACTGCTGTATTACCATGACAGCTGCAGTGTTGTCTTGCTTTGCGATCTGAGTGGAGGTACTTAGATGTCTCATTTCTGACTGTCGTTACTTCTGTTAATTGTGAATATTTTCATATTGTGTAGAAAGAGAATCTACTTCGCTAAGCTTGGCTAGGCTAACTCACCGCTTCTACCACAGATTGTAATTTTTTGCAGCCTACACTGCATGCAGAACTCTGTTAGGAGCTGTTTTTATATATATTTGTTAATTTTCCGTAGATACTACTAATTACGAGTATGAAATTTCAAACCGATGTGCGGGCGACACTGCAGAACGTGTTTTTTTTT